GGGTGCGGATGGTTGATGATAAAAGTAAAACAAAAATAGGACCATTATAAACACGTACGACGTATAAAGCTCGCTCGTACAATCTATACTTGCCTCGGTGCAAAGAGCGCAGATAGGATCAACGAAGTTAAACTCGGGAAGACCGAAGGTGTATCAAGGATGAAAATATAATTAGCGTAGCGTGGTCGTGCCACCGTCGTCTCATCTTTTCTTTGTACTTACTCCACTATTCACCGTATTTATTTTAATTTGCGGCAAACAAGTTGACATTCGCATGTAGTGCTAAAACCGGCAAGAGATTCGCGGGCAAATATAACAAATGGATCGCTACTTGTCGAACGCAGAACCAGGTGAAAAGGTAAACGACCAAAGTGTCAGGGCAAAATGTCAATGGAACACGGTTTCCGTTTCTCTAAATGCGAGGCAAAGGACGGTTAAAATGGGAAACGCGGTTGCCGCGGGCTAAATCCGCGAGTGCTTGATCATTCATTTCTGGCTTGGTTATTTTTTAATTATATATCTGTCGCGTTTAATTATATATCTGTGAAAATACGGGTCGACTAGTCGATGATACAGCGAGGCAATATACTGAGACGAAATGATTCGCATTAATTAGGAAACGAAGCACTGCGTGAATCATCAGACGAAATGGAGACGCTGCAGTCGCTGCGGAAAAAACGGAACGAATTAACGGAGCATTATTAATCGCGAATTATGAATTGTCGGTGTTAAAATCTCAAGATTTAAGATCTTTCTTATGTGTTAATGAACGGTTGTCAAAAGTTGTTAATCAAACCGTTATTTCGAGCAGATTCTGAATACATTTTCATTTCTGATATCGTCCCGATTAATTTCTCTTCGTGTTATAGATATAGCGAGAAAGAAAATAAGACATATACGAGAATAATCTTAAAATTAATATAGAATTTTGTAACGAGAAATAGACATTAACATTTTGCAATAACTAACTATCTTATTATTTTGTGTTATATAGAATAGAAAGATAGAGTGTGATATACGATAGAAACTGAAATACGCTATTAAAAAGTTTAATACGCAAAAAAATACAAACTGAATTCAAGTGAATATTATTTGCTTCAAATATTCTATAAGTTTATATATCCGTAAAACTATTATAAGTTTATTATAAATATCAAATTTATTCAAAAGACAGTCTGAATCCTAGTAAGTTTCAATGAAGAATATTAAATTAAAAAAAGAATTCGATTTGTTTAGTATATAGAATCAAATCAATTTTTTTTTTTCTAAGAAGCATTATCGAATCACTAACCTCTATTGTTTTTTTTCCATTTTATTTTTTTTGTGAGATATACATTCTGTTATCAAATTTATAGTCATTTCATCGACTATCTCGTCAATATATCTACGACATAAAGATAACAATTATTAAAAGAAGGAAAGTAAACTGAGTAATCGCTTTTTTAACAGTAAAATGATATTTCTCTGTGTAGCGTATAGTGAAATTTATTATATTTCTTAGCAAGATAGAACTGATTTCACTGACAGTTGATTTCTGCACACACATATATATATATATATATACACATACACACACATACTACTATAATAATAAATATAATAAAAAATTGAAAAAAATTTATATGAAAAAAAAACTACAATATTCTCTCCGCGTAGGTCAGATTGTTTCGATGGCAATGCGTTAACGATAAACAGACACTTTTATCCGTTATCAGTCACAAACGTTTATCACTGTTGTATCGCACAATGATGCGTAAATAATAATATTCGTCGCAGTAATTAATTCCCGTGCAGCACGTTACTGCATACAAATGTCGAATGTGATATAACCACGAATTAATAAATTACACTTAAGCGTATTGTCAAATACTTTAATTCGCTTACAATTGCGCGCAATTAATGCTCGTACTAGCAGTGCTAATGATATTTCTAACAAAGCAACATCGAGTTTTATGTGCCGCGGGTACACACGTTCCAAAACGGCTAAAGTGAATTAAACGGTGCACAGCTTTGCGGGTAAACTCGGTATTCCCGTGTACTCGCGGCACAAACATGAAACAAATATAGACTATCGCGCGCGAGGAGCACGTTGGCGTGTTGCGTGGGTATGTGCACGCGTCCACAAAAGAATAAACGCCGCCTCGTGGCTCCGGCAATTCAGCGCTCGAATAGTTCATAATAGTTCATAATAGTTAATTCAAGCGGATCGAGCAATCCCATTAGAACTTGGATTGCTCGGCCGATTTTATCATGCGTATTCTATACGGATTACTGAAACATTCACAAAGGATGCCGGCAAAACGGTAAAGACGACGCGGCTTAAAAGCGCGCCGCTTTGACGTCAATTGCACTTTGCAGTTTACGCCGCGCTCAGATATCGCGTTATCATCGATATGTCCCGTCATATCGGTGTCCTCGTCCCACCGAGCGCGTTTCAACGGCGACAGCGAAGCGCCGTTGATTGTAACCACTTACAGAACACGCGCGGGCCACCGTCGAGCGACACTCGAACTGGATATCCCGAATCGACGCAAGGTACATACGTGTGTATGTGTGTGTGTATCTTTTATCAACGTTTGACACAGCTAACGAAGTCAAGATCAATGGACTCTCGTGCCGATTTAATACGATCCGCCCGAGCCAACTGAATCGCACGAATTTCAAGCGGGATGCAGGCGTGACGATATATCGTCTTATCGGATTAGACTTTCCGATTGAATTCCGCGTGAGTTTAGGTTTAGCTTTAGCTTTGGCTTTAGAAATCCCGACTGTATCTCCGTGCGATAGCAGTAGTAACAGTAGTGGTGTAGTTCGACTTTTCCACTCTGCGCCTTCACGTCGTGCGCTCTTTCTTTTCGCGAGACTCTTTTTTTTTTAGCGACGAGAACAAAACTTCCTTGCGCGCTGCACCATCGCACGGTGTGACAAACGAGCAATCTGAAAGGAAACAATTTTTATTCGGATACATCAACTTCTACTTAACACTTGATAGTTGCATAACAATAGTTATTTCGATTAAATAATTTGCTAAATATTTTTAAACATGAGAATCATATAACTTTGTAATTTTTTAAATTTATTATCTCGTTATGTGCTTCTTGGTTGTTTTATCACGATCTTGCAAATCAAAATGTAATCATTGGTGTGTTCGCGACGTTCGCGTATCGAATCTCGTTGTGTGACAAACTGTTCGATGTAACATACCGAACAGCTGCGTTTTGGGTGAATTCCAAGTCGGATTATTCCCTGGATTGTTCAGCGGAGGAGAATTCCGCGGATTCCGCGAGAGCGTCACGTCGACCGTTATCACCACGGTCGGATAGTCAAGCCTCCCTGCTCGGTCGAAATTTTAACCCTATTTTAGACATGAACTTCCTAACATTTGTATATTCTGAAGGATCAGTGTATTTGTAATATACATGGAAAGTTGGATCCTTCTTAGCGCCTTTAATTGACAGAAAATGCACAAAATTCTATTTGTAGATTCTAGAGAAGACTCGCCGGCAAAGCTGGTAAGTTAGATGGAAACAAAAGAGATCGATATAGACTGCAGAGTGTCAAAATACGCGTTAAATGGAACATTGAGATCGATAGTGTAATCAAAATTTCGGCTCGGGATCAGACTCGATATAAGCGCTGATTATGCAGAATAGATATAAAGTGGTAATTAGTAGTCGATATATAAGAATACACAGCAAAAGAGAATAGTTTCCCTTCAGATTGACATTTTCTCTTCGTATTGCGAATCCAGCTTGACATCGATCGCACAAGGTGAAGGATCTCATGTGCGTCCCGATATATCCACATCCGTGAGGGATGTGCGTGACATAATAATGCGTAGCTCTGACGTACACCGCTGCGGCCATAAATGCTCTTTAAATATTACGGACGTAGCAGGGACGAGGCGTGCCGGTTTCAGGGCGGCTTTACATTCAACCCCGTTCGAAAGAGCGTCGTGTGCGCGTTCTCCCACGACCTTTCTGACGGCGGCAGTCGGCCGCGTAAAACATGCGGTAACATTGCAACGCGCGCTTTGAAGCCGACTGGCTGCACACGTCACGGACTTCCGAAGAGTCTGCGTCCGAGTGATAGGGAGAGAATAATGTCCATACATACGGCGTTCCGGTGACGTCACTAGATATCAAGTAGCTAGCCCCGACGGGCCTCGTTCACAAGACAGAGCGTGACGTCCAAGCCCGAAGTCGGACACCGATGACGTCCGCGTCGAGGGTCTATAGCCTGTCGTTCGCGCGGCTGCACATCACCGCGCGGAGCACTCCGTAATCGCGCGTAATTATTCAAACGGAGGATACGTCGGCATTAAGGTTGCTCTATCGATCGAACGAACGATGCTCGAATGGAGCGGCCGAGGCTCACTCGAGCGATAACGCGCGCCCGCCGTCGCTCCGGGCGGAGTTCAATCCTTTTTCTCGTGGTTCGCTGATTGCGTTTTCGCGCGCCACGGACCGCGAATTTAATTCCCCTCCGTCCGCCGACGAGCCGGAAAGCACCCGAAATCAATTGTTTGCGAGCTGTCCTCGAGCTCGCGCGACGTTGCGATCGCCCGAAAATCTCGCGACAGACTTACCTGGTCTGAGTAGGCGGCTTCCCGAAGTCCTTCCTTTCGTGCTGTCGAGGCCGCGATGTTGCTCGAAGACTGCTCTGAAGCCTATAGGTATCGTATTGTTTCCGATAGGCTTTGATATCCACTGTCTTCTTAAGACGAGGTCCTTGTTTTATGCGCGGAGGAAAAAGTTTGATTGTATTAACATGCAGTTTGTGTGGCTGTAACGAACGAACTAACGCGTTTTAGTTGAAGGAAACGGAATCTCTGGTTCTTAGGACCAAATCTAAGTCGCAGGAATCCACAGAAATTGTGTCTTTCAACCAACACGCGTTGGTTGAAACCACACACAAACTTTACATTAATGCAATAAAATTTGTTACGTGTATGATGGGATTTTGGATGTTTGGGTGCAAATTAATAAACACACGAATCGGTCATTTATTAAAGCAAAACTTTATTATAGCAATAGTGAACAATGGATAACTATTAAAGATTTTTAACATGTTTTTTTGATAAAAATAGCGATTGAATGTTTAGGTTTAGGTAATAGGTGAATATCTAAGAGGGTCTCTTATCGTACGAAATTCTTTGAACTAAAAGTTATCTACGATCGTGTCGTCAACGATGATAATCGCACGTACGTGTCGATAAGTCCGAATTTTTAGGCGGCGCGTACTGTGAATCGATCGATCGTGTGGTTGTAATTTGTACGCAATGTGGCGCGCGGATCGAAGTCACGCTAATAAGCCGATTGCACAGATTCTCGCGAAACGATTCTGCAAGGTAATCCTTAAAAAAAGACGTCGCAATAAAAATGAACATATAAATAAAAATAGAAAAACTCACGTCTTCTCTTACGTATTTCTCTTTTCCCCATTTCGAGTGGTTAAAAACGCGCACGCTCACGCGCCAAGCAATCCGGTAAGAGTTGCAATTTCGTTCGGCAAATGCGGAGAGTGACGTATGCGGCCGAATTAATTTGATCGATAAACATATCGCCCGGTGCGAACAAACAGAACGTTCGGCGGGTGGCGCTTCGAGAGGAAGATCGATATTCACGAGTACGTCCCGTAAACAAAACTGCCGATGCGCCGATGCACGCCCTACGGCGATGTTACCCTCGAGCGATGCGGATCCGTCCCTTATCGTGCGGCTAAATTGAATTCCCGTAAGCGGTATATCAGCTCCTTCGAGCTTCAAACGACTCTCACGACGCGCTACCGCCTGGTTCTAATTTCCACCCTTGATCGCTCTGCTGTCGACAGGAACGAGCAGAATGCAAAGAAAGAAAGAAAGAAAAGGAAAACCAGAAAGAGAAGAAGCGAGCCGAAAAGACCAAGAGGAATACGGCGATGATGAAGGATGAGTTTCTCACGGATACGAATGGACTATTAATCTCGCGCGCGCGCGCGCAAGCTCGCTCCAATTTTCCGCTTTAAGGTGGGATATATCGCGGAAAAAAGAAAAGAAGGAAAGAAAAAGAAAGAAACGGGAGAAAGAAAAACGTTACGGGGGAAAAACGGCGCCGAGGACACGAGAGCGGAAAAAAAAAGAGGCGGGCGAAATTAAGAGGAAATCGGTCAACGGATCACACCCGCTCTTCCGCGTCCGTAATCTCTTCCGGGGGTAAAAGAAGTAAAGAATACACGGCGCCACGTGCAGCAAATCCCTCTCCGTTTCATCCCCTTCCCAACCCCGAGAAACGAGAGTCTCTACTCGCCCCGATACTCGAAACCTAAGACAGTCGTCGGCTAGTCCTAGTGATATATTTTAATAAGTCGTTATCGGCTATCCTGTCTCCCTCTTCTCCCCGTATCGTAATAGTATGTCGTCGTGACTAATTATTCAGTTAGGGTGTCTCCTCTCTCCGTTTGCGTTTCCTTACACGAATAACCACCATGGTGTGTCACCCAAAATCGCTTCCGTATCGCATACATTAAACCGAGCTATAGTCTATCTCGCTTTCGCGGTCGACATTGCGGGATAATCGACCAGGATTTCGTAGGCGCAATGTCCGAAAGTGTTTCTCCCCCGGAGCAGAGGTGCCGTTGTAGACTCGTCTCTCGACGAGTAGCGAACGCTCGCCTCGATAATCGGGCGAGTGAGCGCGCGATTGAATACATAGGCCACCTCTTCTATACATGTCGCCGGTGGATCGATCCGCTCGCGATATCCCGCTGCATCAATCGCATTCACGCAACATACAGTAATCTTACAAATAATATATCTAACAACTTTAGGTTCAACTTAGATTGCTTTCCGTGATCACGCCTACTCCACCCGAAGTGCGCCCTCGTGCACTCGCATCAACACATCATATACAATTTACATGACACACATACACACAGACACACACACACACACACACACACACACACATTCTCCCTCTCTCTCCCTCCCTTTCGATCCTTCCTTCAGCGCTTGGATCCTTCTTACGTTATCGCAACATGCGTCTGACATGACGTGGTTGAGGATTGCACGACGGCGCTCTTAGCCAAAGTTCGTGTATTTTACTATTCTATCGTAATATTACGTTTGCTTTTACTCTCTCTTATAACTTTCTTTAGATATACGATAGGTAGGTTACTATTCTTTACGTATCAATCCATGACATCACGCAATCGCTTTGCACACATGTTCGCGTACACAAACAAACACACGCACACATGGTGTATACACGCTACATACACATATATTCATACACATACATACACGCAGCATTCTCTCTCTTTCTCACATTCTCGACCGTTCTGTAGCTTTCTCTACATCCAGACGCGTCTGCGATTCAGTATGATCCGGGACGTCGTTTGATGGCTGGAGGAATTTCAGGGTGATTTGTAGGTACGAGGTGATGGACAGAGTGGATCAACGAGGGACGACTCGCCGCGCTCGCGAGGTTCTCGGCGACGAGTCGCCCTCGCCGGTCCGCGCGATGCCGATGCTTGGCCGGTCGGTCTAGAAGTCTCTCGATTTTTTGTTCTTAACGTGTGTGTGCCTAGCCTTAAACTTACGTTACAATACTATTCAATACTTGTTGTGAAGCTCATAATAAGTACATACTCGAGGATTAGATTACCGATTATTGTGTTACTCTTACGTCTCCTAGGGCGTCGCCTCACCTCTAGGTGTTATTTATACCTCCCGTTATTCCGGTCTCTCGCGTCTTCACCAATGCCTTACGTCTAAATACCGATCGTCATACTCTCCTTTTCAACCCTCCCCCTTCCCCCCATTTCCTCCACGTTTCCATCGCGTACCACTGCGTAGATTAGGTTGAGCCTATAGGTACAAAAAGTAAATCGTCGTCTGCAACGATCTCTGTACAGAAGTTCATAACAGTCGTGCGCGCGCGCGCGCGTACGTACACTCATCTGCGCGCGCGTTTTTTTTTCCCAATGACGTTAGAAGCGCGCATCAAATGATCACGGTTGCGAGCCACTGCGCAATCACGAGCTCGCAGAGTAGTCGGTTATGACAAACACTGTCGAAGTGACAGCGTACGAGACATTTGATGTCACAACTGCAACAGAAGATTCGGGAAAAAGTACTTTATTATATTTTTATTTATCAAATAAAAGTATAATAAAGAGCCAATATTTACACCATGTACCTTCACTTCGGCTTCCATCATAACTGATGATTACCGCGCAAGACCATGGACAGTGGTTCGCAATCTCGACCGTTTAACGCGCTCTTAGCATCACCGGAGAAAACGAATCGTTGCGCAGTCGAGCGTACGCACACATGCACGCATGCATCTAGGCTCGATCGGACATATCTCCGCGCTGTATTATCCGAGGATACCGTGAACGATATATACCGCGATACAAATGTTTATGTACAAACCTATGAGGGCAAGAGAAACTATCACCGATATGACCTGCAATTGCTTCGCGGAACTGAAGAAATTCATGTACACAAAGGCGCGTCGTATGATCTCACTTACTACTCTTTCTAACCTACGTTAGGGTTTTATGTATGATGCTGATTATGGCTGGCTGGCTGTGGCTGGGTGCTCTCTCGATACGTCGATCGTTCGACAAGCCGCGCTGAATATGAGCACCGATAGACGTATTGTGTGTTGATTACAAAATGTATGTCGATCTCCGAGGAAAAGTCGGACGGAGCTAACACGAGTGCTAATTCCACTACAATGTGAGCCTGCATCATTCGCATGGACGATTGTTAAGCGAGGACGTATGCATTCGTAAAATTAGCTATGAAGCGCGACAAAATCGAATTTTCCCGTTGTTTTCGCGCGTACTCGAAACTCGAAAAATATTCATTTACACGCTGTCCACACACGGAGACAATTTTTCTCTCTCCCTTTTTTTTTCTGTTTGTTATCGCGGTCAGTCAACTCGGTTAGATGCAAGTAGGTGATGTTGATGATACATGAAAAACATGTTGCGTTTTAGCGAAGAGTCTTTCCTGCCAAGATCGTTTTTATAAAAATATAACACTATTATCTATGTACAGAGAGAATCCCCAGGTCAGAAATGCCCGTTCTCTTCCGTTCGTGGAGAAAGCTTTTTTTTTGGGCGAGAGGTAAAAGATTGAGACGATCAACGAAAGCCATATTGGCGAGAAAGAACCGAACGAATCGTTATCGACATTTCGAAGCGAACCAAGGTGTAAGGGCATACGTCGAAACTCCAACTTGTGATTTCGGAAAGCAGATCTCTCGCGGGCTAATGCACCCATCGCTTTGTGGGTTCGGTCCGGTCGTCGTTGTAGTCTACGCGTATAGCCTATACGTGTCGTGTACGCGTGAAAAGAAAAGCGAATGCCGGCTCTCAATATAAGGTGGCCAGATTCCCTGTTCCTAAATCCGGAACTCTTTACAAATATTTGGAGTGGAAGAATTATTGAAAATTTTATATACATATGACATAAAAAATAATTCAACGACAATGAAAGTCTACCGTATACGGTGAAAACGAAAACAACTGCTAAGATAAAATTGTTATTATTCTTATTTAAAATTGAGAGGAAGGAGCATAGTTGCTGTATTTACCAGAGCTGTGAATTTTCCTGAGAAGATCTTTCTTTGCTAGAAGCGTTTTTAGAATTCTCTGAAGCGGGATAAACCGTTTGGCCGAATCCGGGACAATCCCGGCGACCCGGGATTGAAAAAAATGGCAATGGGACAAAGGATAAAAAACCGGAACTGTCCCGGAAGAAACGGGACGTCTGGTCACCTTACAATAGCCCGCAATGGCTTCGAATCCGGAAGTCGTCGAAACGATCGCTCGCCTCGATGTGCCCCAGCACCGCGTTCGTCAGTGTGAGATGCGGTCGTTGCGCAACGGCTTGCGCAGCGATGCCGCAGGATGCAATGAGAAATCCGGCCGTGCTCATCGAAAACTAATAAGCAAACACGTACATCCTACATTAATATTAGACTTACCTACGGAAAGTGTACACGTGACTTCTAAGTCCGGTAATATGTACAGTGCACCAGTCGCGTACACAAACGGGCGCCGAGCGCGCGTCGTGGCCGCACAGGCGCATTTCTCGTACGCGTGTGGCATTTGTGTGTATGTGTGTATGTGGGGAGGGGGGCGGGGGTGTGAACCGCGGGAGAAAGAACTAGATAGGTGGACGAGATTCGGAGGAAATGTAACGGAGTCTCTGAGAGGCCACGGGTCTGCCTTCGTCGATTCCTTACGGAGAAAGTAAACCCGCGCACGTGTAGCACCTTGATTGAGGGACGAATTCTCGACGATGACATGCTCGCGCGATGAGATGACGCGCGGAGACGGTTGCCCGCCGAATTGGAGCGCGATGAACTTCTTCTCGGGGCTTCCGTCAGAGCGCGTGTTCTCGCACACGGGCATAGAGACGTGGCCTCCGACCTCGAAGCGACGGCTGAGCACGCGCGCGAACAAAAACGCCGCGTCGTTTTAGGTGCCAGGTGTGCGAAGACTAATGACGATGATCGGAACGGCACGAAGGTTTCCGCAAACGGGAGATAACGGCACGTTGGCGCGGCAGCTCGCGCGCGATCGTCGAGATGCGATACATGATAGAAAAATGAGGGAAACGGATGCGGTGCGGGTGAAGTGGATGAGCGGGCGGGCGGGCGGGATGGAGGTGCGGGGAGGAAGGAAGGTGTGCAAGTAGAAAATAGGCGTGCGCGCCGCAAAAGTGGCGAACGTGATATGGAAAGCTAACCAGTGTCGCGCGAGTGCAGCGCGGCTCGCACGAAGGTCTCTAAGCCGATAATAATCTCATATGTAACCTGCGTGACGTCGTAAACGCGCCGTTGGCCACGTTTCGTTTTTCTCTTTTTTTTCTGTTTTCTTTTTTCTTTCTTTCTTTCTTTCCTTTTCCTGCCTCCGATGCAACGTTCTTCCTCTCTGCCGTCGACTAACGCTCGTCGCCTCGACTCGGTCGCGCTCGAGTTGCGAGCCGTTCGCGAACCTGTTCCCTATCGACGCCTGCCTCGCCGAGTTGGCGCCGCACCCCGAGCTCGCTCGCTTTCTTTGAGCTTCTATCACAGGATGCGAGGAAGCTGCAGGAGAACAACGCGACTCTCTCCCGTCGGTGCGATCTCGGCGCCGTTCTCGATATGATCGATATTTCATTACGGCGCGATATTTCATTTACGACGGTGTTTCATTATCACGATCAACATTGCGTGTGTCTTCCGTAAACGAGACTCCGATATCGTATATACACATTAATTCCCCGCGTTGATTGAGAGTCCAGGAGAACGCGTCCGCGCGACGCTTCTCCGTACAGCCTCTGGCATCGATCGGCCTCTTTTTCTCCCTCCCTCTCTCTTTCGAGGAACCGGAACTCTATCCACGATTCTCCGGACACAATGCGAGCGTGGTGCGGTCCGTCCACCCGGAGGGGAGCAGCACTCACCGTGAACGCGCATCGTATCGGAATTCACGAGAGAGCCGAGAGTTCTCCGCTGTCGACGACGATTCCTCATGGCGCGCGTCGTCATCGCTAAGAAAACACTCGCGGCGCAAGAGTCCAGCACCTTTGGTGGCTCGTACGCAACACCTCTCTATTTACAGCGAAGCGAGTACGAAAATATACATGAACGGAAAAGGAGTGTGGATACGACGAAAACGAAACCGGAACGACCCTCGCGCGTGGGTCACCGACCGCGGAGGACGCGCGCGAGCCGATCAACTCCCGCGATAGTCACTCGCGATCGGCGGCGCAAGGCGAGAGAAGGTCTCTTGGAGCACAGTGGCACTGATAGTATGCACGATCGATCACGCGCACGTCCTTTTTACACTTACGTTCTCGCACCAGTTCGCTCGAGGATCCGCGCTAGTCGCTCGAGAGTCCTCGGGTGATGAACGTGCCGAGCGCGGTGACGTGACCGGTCAGTAGGAAGGCCAGGCTTATCCGGCCGGTCGTGGTCCAGCCGCGATTCCTCGGCGGGACGATTATGCGTATCATCGTGTCGTAATCTCGGCTCGACGGGGGACCCAACGATCGCCTCCATCAGACGAGGGGAGTGCCGTACACCTCGTTCGTATGTAGATTCTGATTGCTGTCATTCTGCCTGGAGGCGCATTGCTGTAACAGAAAGTGCGAAACATCGCGGCTGTGAAGGGAGATGCTAACCGAATTTCCAACATAGGTTCGGTGGACGCGAGCGTGTACGTAGCACAGCGACGCGAACTACGCACTACGCCACTACGTGTCCCCGGAACAACGCGTTATCGGCCCGCCGTGCCTGCGGAATCGATTTGCGACACCGTGTATGCCACAGTCGGGATTACACCGTGTATTTCTAAGCCCATCACGAAAATTATTACTCGAGTAGAAAGATGTCCAGTTCTTAGCCAGTAACTGTAGCCAAGAATTCTGGTCACTAACGAATTTCCAATCAATTTAGACGAAGCTTGCTGAGGTAAAACTAGGCAGTAAAACTAATTAGTTTCTGATCAGTTTTTCATCAGTTTATATCTAATTCTTTTTTACAAAATTCTTTTATTTTTTATCGTTCGATTCTGCTTTGTAAAATATAAAAATAATACGCTTTCTTAAAGTGAATTAATGAAAATGTTCCTGAGTGAATCAGTGAAAGGAATATTTCACTAATAATGTGAGTATTCACTGATCAGTCAGATCAGTGAATATTTATTAATTTTCAGTGGAAATATTCCTACTTTACTGCTCCAGCTCAGTGATGTTGAAGTAAGATTTCACTGAAAAATCTGTAGTATGCAAATTCGTTACGCGTTGTATGAAATCCAACTTTTTGTACGGAAAAAAGTTTGATTGGATTAACCAGTTTTTGGTGAAATATAAATGAGCCAGAAAATTCCGGCTGATATTGTTAAAATTCTGTTCAAGTTAACTAGAAATCTTATTATATCTTATTATATTTACCATATTTTTTCATCTAGCTTTAGGCCAATGTTTTACGAGCTTTTATCAGACAGAAACTGCCCAGCACCATTTTTTCTCGCCTAGTCTCTGACCATTAATTGATCGAGAAGTACTAATCAGTATTCTGTCTAATTTCTGAAGCTATTATCTAATAAATCTGAAGCTATTATCTAATAAATCCTAATCAGTAAAAACTGGCCAGTTTCTAGTGATCAGCCTTTTCTGGAAATTTTCCTATTCGAGTAGAAAACGACGCCATTTTGTTGTGACGTTTCACCGATCAAATGATCACGGCCATTTCAGTATCGGCGTGCGCGCGATAATATTTATAGAACGTTGCGGCAGCGCCATGAAGATAATTTTATCGCGCGAATTTAATTGATTTCGATGCGCACAGGAGTTGACGTTGCATAATGTATAAAGGAGCTCGCGGAACGATCACGGAGCAATTCTCATTTGCTGCTACCGAATCGCCGTGCGCGCAATTGTATTTATCGATGCGCATTATCGATTTACGGTCATACGCCCGTAGGTGTCCCGCCCTCTCCCCACAATAAACTTTAGCCCGTGTCGCGCAATTTCGCGATAAATATTTAATTTCTCTCTCTCTCTCTCTCTCTCTCTCTCTCTCTCTCTCTCTCTCTCTCTCT